TATATATTTTTTTTTTCATCGTAGATTTGTTATTTATGTTTTCGCATATCAGCGATGGTTTCCTTAATGAAATCCCGATAGTAATAGACGCTCATGAAGACGTCGGGCATGACGCGATTGCCGCACTGCGCAGTCCACGTGCTGATGCCGCAGAGCTCGCCGTTGATGACCAGCGCTCCGCCGGAGTCGCCGTTGCAGAGGGTGCGGCCGTTGTAGCCGGCTGCGCAGAGCACATTCTGGGGCATAGTGCGTTGCATCTTCTGGTTGCATTCCGCCTTGGCAATTAGAGGCACTTTCAAAACGCGCAACGTGTCCTTGTAGTAGTCACTTACGCCCCAGCCGGAGACGGTGGCCCGATCGCCGGATGACGGCTTCCGGGAACAGAGCGGCAGGTAGTTGACAGCGGGCTTTGCATAGGGTATGCTTAGGGAGGCCACGGCAATGTCGGCTATGAATTCTGTTTTCTTATACCTCGGGTGGATCTTCAGCTTGAGTATGGTATTTTTCGAGTCCTCTGTTGGAAAGTACGTTGTTAACTCCGTCTCGCCGGCGACTACGTGATATTTGGTGTAGTCCGCAGTGGCTGCGAAGCAGTGAGCCGCTGTCACAATATAACGTGAGCTGACCAACGTGCCGCCACATATAAGCTTATGCCGTAGGTAGATCTGTACGGCATAGCCCCCGAGTTTCTGGATAGAAATTTCCCTACCTCCATATATTCTAGGGCTGATTACAGGCCTTTCTGGCAGCACAGATTCAGCTTTAGCCAGACACAAGATAAATGAAGTAATAAAAGCTGTTAAGCAAATCATTTTCAATTGTGCCGAGACTCGGAAGAAATACAGAAATATCCATTTAAGCTGAAAAGTTCTATGCAAAAATCGATTAGTTTCGCTTGCCATGTCTTAGCTTAACAAATTTGTTCTGCTTGCATTCATAATGTATTTATGAGTGAGTGTGCGTGAGTGTGTGTGAGTATGTGTGTGTGTGTGTGAGGTCATATTCCCATCGACGTCTAGTCGCCAAGTTGAATCTGTTTGATGCTATCTTTAGCAAAATGTGGTGGGGTAAATTCGAGTTAACTCTTTTTTTTTTTTGTTTCCTTGAGCATTTTCATTGGGGCGGTTGGACTTGTTAGCGAATCGCCGCACGTTTTGTTGCCAGTACATTTACAGTTATGTGCTCACACACACGCACGCATGGATACAAGGATATCATATAAAGAGATGTAGATGTGCGTGCGCCTCTTGCCAAATTGTCGATTTTATTATTTGTGTTTATATGATTTTTCAGCTGTTCTGCATTTTAAAGTGCCCGCCAGCAGCAGCAGGACAGCCGTGAGAGAGCGAGCGAGATGGCGATAGATGGGGGGCCCGCATAGCCATGGCCAACAGTGGGGGGCGTGCTTATAACATGCGCTGCGTGTCTTCTGCCTCATCTCTTATTATAATGTGAAAAATATCCTTTTACAAATTCAAAACGTTGAAGTGTGCGATTTCTTTTGTTGCCGCTTTTAACTGTCAGTGTGTGTGCGTGTGTGTGTGTGCGTATGTGTGTATGATACCCGCGTGTATTTATGCCTGGACAGTTGCAAAAGAGAAGCACGTTCTCAGTCAGCAGTGCACGAGCACGAAGCGGCTGTCCTACTTGCCGAGCTGATAATTCGAAATATTTATCATTTCGTATTGAAATATTTTGCGCATCATTTTGCTGTAATTTTCTACATGCTGCATTAGTGGCAGATGGCCATGCAATGCCTCATCTCTTCTACACAATCGATCTGCCAACTCATTGTTGTCGATTGCAGCTGTAACAATATCTCGGAGCACGTTCGGGCCAGGAGCAGGCGAATCCCTCCAACAGATCCAGTTTGAATAGTTACAAATAAGGCAAATGAAATGACTTGTCATGTGCCTAAGAGCCAAGGGGCTAAACATTGTATAACAAAAGGAATTCAATTTTCAAAAGCGAATGCGGAAGAGTTTAATTTTTTTTTTTAAATTTAATTTATAAATATTTGATCAAAGCACATTCATTTTCTTTGTATAGGTTTTTATTTTTATTTTTTATTATCATAGATATATTTAAATATATTCAGGCCATCATATACTCCATCAAGGATACACATATACAAATATACATATATACAAATATGTATTCAAATGTCGTGGACGAGCTTTAATTGCATTGCATAGCAAACAAAATTTCTATTTGCGTTAACTTTTCAAATTTTGCAAAATTCATTTCGATTGCTTATTTTGCTGAAAATGAAAAACAAAAAATACAAAAAATTGTTCAACTTTAGAAATGGCAAACGGCAATGGAAACTGGACGTGAGCTGCACTTGCTTTTATTAGTTTAGTTTTTGAAATTAAACGTATTTGCATGTCATATGCAATTTAGCACATTTGCGAGTGTGTATGACAAATTCTTTTTTATATTACTCGCATATACCCTGTACACCACCGGGCACAATCGAGGTCAGATTTTTGGCCAGTTGGCAGACCTTGAGGGGCATTCGATGCAAATGACAAGTTGATTTATTAAGCTCTTTAATTGAATATATGAATTAAAAAGTAAATAAATAACAAAAAAATTATTCTAATTTAATTTCTTTATATGAACAACGATTATACAAATAAAATGAGATATTTAAGTAGATGTATATATGTAGATCGAGATATGCCACTACAGCCTTTAAGATATACAAATAAATGCATTTATATATGAAGTTTACTCACTAAGTTTGAAATCTTTAGATAAGTATTCTTTAATGAATTAATTGTTTAATTTGCATTTACTAAACAAAAATTCTAAAAAAAAGAGTTAGTATATTTCATAATAACATAGCTATCCTCTGTAAAAAAATATAAATTTGTAGCATAAGATTTATATGATTGTTAAAAAAAAGTTCAAGGAAAATAAAATACAATATAAAAATCCAATAAATAATAATAATAA